CCCCCAGTCCTTTTAAGCCCCACTGGCCTTCAAAGCCAAATACTCAGGGGGCTCCTCTTCCTGGTGCCGGACCCCCAGCTGGGGAGCCGGACGTGGGGCTCAGAACTCTCGTCCCGTGGGGTGATCTCTGCAGTGTATTCTCTAGTTTGTGGGCCGCCCACCTGGGGGGTGGGATTTGACTACATTGCAAGCCCAGCCCTCCTGCCTGCCTTGTAGTTCCTTCTTTGTCTTTAGATGTAAGATCTTTTCTGGTAGTTCCAGTCTTTTCTGTCAGCGGTGTTCAGCAGTTCGTTGCAATGATGTTGCGTTCATGAGAAGAGGTGAGCCCAGGGTCCTTCTGCTCCACCATCTTAGTCCAGATCTCGAGTTAGGGGACTTTGGGAAGGTTCTAGGAAGTTTGGTCTTGCTCTGGACTGGACGCTGTCAGAAAATGGGGCAACTTTATGATCAGGCATCAAATTTTTATTTAGAAGGTGATGGGAGGGACAGAGGGTCTAAAGCTGCAAGTGGCAGACGACCACTCATGTTCCCCGGGAGAGGGGCCATTCGATCATTTCTGCAGTTTGCCGGGTGTTCTTGCTTCCGTTTTAGCTCATGTCGATGACACTTGTGGTCCTGTTTTGGTCTCACTCCATCACAGTCAGAGAGTGGCCTCATCTGACGTCAGTGTCTGTGGAATTGTGTGCGGAGTGGTGAGGGGCTCCGCAGACTAGGGGTGGTGCCAGGGCTGATGGATTTTCTTTCTTGGGTCTCGTACGATGCAGGCTCTGTGCCCTCGTAGGAGTGACAGGTGCCCCCAGTAGCCCAACTGCAGGGCTCGAGGTAACCATCAGTTCACGGAGAGCAAGGGCAGAGAGTAGGCACAGATGCACAGGGCTCAGAAGCGCCTCCCGAAATCTCTAAGTGAGGCTGCAGACCTTTGAGTGGATTCTCTCCACCTCCTCAGCGACTCACAGCCGAGATGCTCATGGCTGCTGATACCAGCAGCAGGGAAACTGACAGGGCTCACCAACCCGTTCCTGACATCCATTTGAGGGTGTCAGAGCTTGCTGGCAACAGCTCAGATAACATCCTGGGCCGCTGATCCTTCAAAGGCTGGCAGGGAGGAGAGTGACAGGCCCTCCACGTGTTGCCGACTCTGCTGCTGGCTGCAGTTACCACAGGAGAACTTGAAATGGGGCTTGGAGCCCACAGAGTGGTTTCAGAAGCAGAGTCTGTCCCTCCTCCGGGGAAAACATCACACATGTTTTCAAAGGGATCTTACGTTGTCTTCACAAGGGAAACGTATTATCTTGCCCATACAATACTCTGTAGCAGAATCCAGTGGGGAACAGTAGATTCTGAACACACAGTCACACTCTTCTAACTCTGGAGGAAAACGTGGAATACCATAGCGCTAAAAAGTATTGCTGTCAATGAGTCCTGGCAACGGAAGGATTATAAGAGTGAAATATTTTAAAGCTCAAGGGAATCACTGAAGTTGTATCTGATGAGTTGTGTGGCCCGTGGCTTGGAATTTTGCTAAGAAAACTAGAGAAAAAGTGTGGAATGAGTATCTTCACAATATTTTGCTGTTATGGTTGCTACATCCTTAACCATGATTTTATCTGTTCAGAATGTGGCTTTTCATACCTAAGTGCCTTTGAACGAGAATCAATTTTGGATGACTTTGGACTTGGAGGGTATGTCTTGTACTCCAGTAACTACAGTAGTGTGTGTGTGTGTGTGTGTGTAAGACATTCCGCTGTATTGCAGGATGCTTGGGGACAGTCTTTACAAGGCACAGCACGGGAACACGGTTCAATAAATGGTGTGCACTGAAGGAGGAAAGAGAAGGGCAGCGATTAGAGAGCATCAGCTGTGTGCCTGAACCGCACTAATCCTCACAGCGATCCTGCAGCGTGATTGTCACCGTTCGGCTCTGCAGAAGGGAAACTAACTGGCTTTCCCAAGGTCACAAGCCAACAAAGGACTCAAATCCAGGTGCCCGCCTTCTGCTAACCTGGGAGGTGAACCTGCGCCATCTAGTGGCCGAACTAGGACACGCACAGGCCAGCACGAGGGAACGCTGTTAATACGCACCCTTTTCACGAAAGGGTTTGTGAAACCGGGAGAAGCAAATCCTCACTCCCAACCCCACTACCCAGAAAAGGCAACGAGAGGCTCATGGCACCGTAAACACTAAAGAAGAAAAAATAGTACCAGGATGTTTCAGGAGCGTTAACAACCACTGAGCTGCTGGTCCGCCCTGATGGGGTGAAATGATTCAGACAGGAAACTCCTGTTTTCTCTTAAGCATCACCACGCTTGGGTATCTCAGTTCAGCCAGTGAGGATTCCAGCTACCATATGAAATACCCATTCCGTGAAAGGTGAGGTGAGCACTGGTGTAAACATCTAATCTTTAACTCTGAGACTCCTCACTTGGGGCTGTCGCATGCCATTGTAATTGCTGATTTAAGAAACAAACAAACATCTTTTCTCTGGCCACAAGTGTGAGTTCCTCGAGATCAGTGTCTGCTTCCATTTCCTCTGACTCCTAACTGCCAGGCACACGGCAGGTGCTCTGTGAACAACTGGAGAATGAAGGTGACACGATGACCTTGGGACAGGATCACGCAGACGCCACCACAAGTTGGCAACTGGACCGTGCACATGTCAGTTTCAAAAAGTTTTTCAAAATACACGACCCTCTTTCCAAGTAGAGTGAGCAAGTGTCAAAGATCTAGTTACCTTGTTAGTGAGAGAATCAGCAGAATGGGGAAGCTATTTCAAAAAAGACTAGGACAGACTGGCATACTCAGCGAAAGAAAGGATGTTGCCTTCCAGCAAAGGAAAATAAATAAGTAAATGAATAAAGAAAAATAAAGCCAAGAAGGAGGAGGAGGAAGAGGGGAGGGGAGGGGGACAGGCAGGGGAGAAGAAAGGATGTTGAAATAAGATTGCAAAATCAGATGATGTCTTCTTATAGGACAATAAATCCTTGGGGAGGTATATTTCTTGGTGGATAGAAATCATTTGCATCTGGAGCAGGCTAAAGTCACTTGGAACATCTACAAATTAATATTCAATTTCAGAGTCTAAGCCCTAATCAATAATAAACAGTGAGCCAAATAGAGGCGCGTTTCTATGGAGATTTAGATGACCTAGGTGCCCTGATCCCATCACCTACTTCCTTTCCCACGCAAGGGTGTCCAGGTCACTCACCCCCACTTCCCTGAGTCACCTTCTAGCTGCTCCCTCCTAAGTTTTCAGAAAACTGTTCCAAGATAATTCTCAACAAAATGCTACAATCATGGCTCTGAAACAGATATAAAATTTAACATGTTTTAAAAGTTTTATTGAACTCCTGAGAGTCCAGGAGATGTTATAACCAGTTCAAAAGCGAATCCACAGGGCAGACCCATTTATAGATGAGGAATATTGGAAAGAATATGTAAATAAATGCAGGCAGAACTGGCCTTTTCGCAGGGTGGGAGGGCAGACAGTTGACCCGTTCCTGGACAGTCCGGGACATGCGCACTTAGAGACAACAGTGACCTCGCGGTGTCGTCAGCTGCCTTCAACTACAGAGTTCAAACAGCTTAAAGACAGTGAGAGGCTAGGCGCAGATAAACTGGAGGTTCTTTGACCTCTACACAGACCATAGTTTTCTATTGAAATACGTTCTTTCCTCTACCCTGGAAACAGAGTTCCTCGCTGGCCCCCCGTCCCATCCAAATCCCCAGGGCTTCCCTTGACCCCAATCTGTTGTCCCCTCCCCAACTCAGCACCAATTTAACTCTGAAGATCTACCTTGTGTCTCTGTCTCTCTCTCTCTCCTTCCCTCCCCAGTCTCTGTAGCTCTCTCTTTCACACACACACACAAACCTAATACAATATCATATATAAAATCACATAAGAGAATTTTAAAATACAATACAGAATGAGTACAGCAAGGTGCAGAGAAGGCGCAGTGCAGCCAAGCTGTAGGCGTCCAGGGGGAGGGCTCTGGGGCTGCGGTGGTGAGGTAGGAGCCCTCTCTAACCAGGTCTGGGGCAGGCACAGGGAGGGGCTGCGGGTCCAAAGGTGGTGGTGACTTCAGCTCCTTGGAGGTAAAAAAAAAAAATCACGCTGAGAGTTACACTCATGGAAATGAGGCATCTCTCTTTTTATTTGAAATAGGAACGTGGTTTTAAATGCTTCTCTTACCTCGTGTTGGTGATGAAGTCGAATGGCCTGCCACCTCTGCACACCTGTGGGAGGCGTCCCCGAGCGCTCTCTGATGCCGTGTATGCGTCCAGCACCGTCCCTCCAGTTGTGAGGTGGGCGCTGTCCTTGGAATCAGTTCCCCTCCTTGGGAAAAGATAGAAGCTGGGCAGGGAGGGTCCCAGCGTGTGCGGAGGGGCGGGGTGGGGCAGAGCTCCCTGGCCGCCCTGGAGTGTGTGCAAAGTAGCCCGATTAATAGCAGGCCTGTTTCCCAGCCCCCGTCCCTGCGCTTGGCACGTGGAGGGTGTTTAGCAAATACTTATTAAATAAATAGTGGCAGCAAGTGCTGACTTTAGCACTTTCCACCTGCTTTGCTTGTGTTGGTCCTTCGAGCCTCCTGACAACCCTGAGAGACAGGTGCTGGTGTTCTCCACACTTTGCACAGAGAGAGACTGGCCGCACATCAAGCTGGAGAAAGACAAAGCGAGAACGTGGGTGACTCTGAAGCGGGCGCTGTGCTAAGTGCTTACATCCATGATTCCGCTGGATCCTGCAAGCTACCCTGGGAATGAAAATCATTGTCTCTCTTTTACAGGGGGAGAAACAGAAGCTCAGAGAAGGGAAACCATTTCCTAAAGCCACACAGCTAATAAGTGGCAGACCTTGGATTCGAACCAAGGACAGTCGACAGAGGGGCTTAGACACATGTCCTTTACCTGTACTGTCCAATATGGGCGTCACAAGCCCCCACTGCATGTGGACATGGGCCCTTGAAATAATGGTAGTATGGCTGAGGAATTGACTTCTTAATTTTATTTCATCTGAATTTAAGTGTAAATTTTAAAAGCCCCCCACCGCCACCAAAAGCAGGGGGAGGGTATAGCTCAGTGGTAGATGCTTGCTTAGTATGCATGAAGTCCCTGGATTCAATCCCCAGTACCTCTATTAAAAAATTAAAATACTGGGGGAGGGAGTATAGCTCAGCGGTAGAGGGCATGTCAGCAGGCATGAGGTCCCGGGTTCAATCCCCAGTACCACCACTAACAACAACAAAAGCCCTGTGTGGCTAGTGGCTACCACTCTGGACAGTGCAGCTCTGGGATGCAAAAGCCCTGCTAAGTGCGTCTGGGGGTGTTGCTGAGGCCAGTGATAACCAGTGGGCCGTGTTTGCCCCCAGCCTCGGCTGAAGGTCCCACAGATGTCATTCACATTAAGTAGGCTGGCCCCTGGGAAGGAGAACACATGGACCAGAGAGGTTTTGGCCACACGTGCCCTTGTGTATTGTGTCCCGTGGGGCTGTGGCTTCCCCCTCGGGCCCTGGCTGCTGTCAGTTCAGTTACTCTGGAGAGAGCTTGTCTTCTCCCCGCTTCTCCGTCCCCCCTCCCCTCAGTCCCCAGCCCAGGGCACAGCAGTCACCTCAAGGTGGCCCCTTCAGGCACGCCAGGACAGCTCCAAGAGAAACTGGAAGAGTCATTCGCTTGCTCAAAGTCACATCAGAACAGAGCTGGGATAGCTCTCCAAAGTCATTTCGCTGACCTCCCACCCTGGTATTACAGTGGAGAGACCAAGGCCTGGACAGGTGACCAGTACCGTCCTTGGCCTCTGCCCAGGGCCTGGTCCCACTGAGCCCACAGATGGGCAGGAACACGTGGCAAGCGCCGAGAACAGGAGCCATCTGGCCGGGGTCAGGCGCTCCTCTGCCTTCTCAAGTCCATGCAGTGTTTAGTTCCTTAACATTCATGGTGAGGAAGGTGTGTGTTTTGCAAAGAGAACAAAGTTTCCAATCATTTAACTAAGACACATATTCCTGTCACTTATTGTTGAAAAGTATTTCAATTATGTTCTTAAAATTTCTCTGTAACGTAGTTCTATTTTTTTAAATCCTCCCCCTCCCCTTTGCACAGAGATTCAGCTCAACTCATAAACAAAGAAAATGCTTGGAGCCTACTTATTGATTGAATGTCACTGCTTATCCATCTGGGGGTAACTATTAATAATCTTAGCACTTTTACAAGCAGAAAGTCCTTTTTCATGTCTAACTTCACTATTTTTTTTCCTCTCTACCTCAGCAGGGTGTACTGAGGGCTGAGCCAAGCCAGATGGACACGTTGCAAGTAGGCTGTTTCTTGCTACGAATATATAAACTGCAACTGGCATTTTCGGCTCATGGTCCAGAGTTCAAGGTTTCAGGTACAGACACACATATCAGACTTGAAGTGTGAACTTCTTACTTGATTTGAAATGGTCTGGATAACAAACTGCTGGGCACCTCAGGGAATTTGTTGCAGTAAAAACACTCAGAAGGAATCGTTCCCCAAATTCCAGCAACCAGGTAACAGACACATCAGTAAAGTGGGTAATCCTGGTTTCCATGACTACCCACTTTTAATGACATCATATGAGCATATGTCCCATTTCTCTCTATAATTAGAGCTAGTAAATACCATAGTATGGATATACGGCAGATTTTGCAGGCATTAACCAATTATTACTAGAGTTATGTTGCTCAGAATTCAAACATGGAAAACAGAGCCCAGAGGCAAAAATTAATCCCGTGGGATTGTTATCTGCTCTCTGGCCAGCAAGATGAGAGAGGCGGACTTGTTTTCACGTTTCCGTTAACACGAGGATAATGAAGTCAGCATCGCAGCCTGATCTAAATGACATCGTGCTAGTATCACTTTACCTGATGAACAACAGTGAGTGTCGCGCCCCTGCTCCCGCTCCCCCGACACTGAGGATGGTGACAATTAGCTAAGCTGCGACTCCGGGACTACATTTCCCAGAACCCCCTTCCCCGGATGGTCCTGGGTGAGCACGGACCGCCGGGGAAAGCTTGTGCGAGGTTTGGAAGCCAGAAGGAAAGGGGCGGACACACGTTTATGCTCTGAAGGTTGGAGCAGAGCACCGGGAACTGTGGGCGCTCAGGCGCACTGCTGCTGCTGTGCCCGCTTGCCTCGTCCTGCGCCAGCTACTTCTCCGGCTCCCTGGGGAAGGGCGCCCGCTTTCCCCGGAAGTCCCCCACCGCCGCCAGGCTGCAGGCGAGCAGAGACAGGTACGCTCCAGTTTGTATTTTCTCTGGTTCACACCAACGTTTTTTCCCCCCAGCTACGAGTTTGGCTGAGCTGTAGCTACTTCAGGCTCAGTTCAGCACCAGATGCCGAGATAACAGTCTTGTCTTGATGCCCCCTTGTCGCCCCGACAGCCACGTGAAGTCTGACCCTCTAACAAATCCCTTGTTCTCCACCGTTCACGGTTCTTCTGCTTCTCTGCACTGAACCCTGACACATCCCGGCTGAGTTCCTTGTTGTCCGAACTTTTAAATTCAGGTTAAGTTTCTTCGGCATAGTCTTGAGTCATTTCTGATACAGCAAGAAATATGTAAGATTAAATTGTTGGCTTTGAGCCCTTACTGCATGCAAACACTGTGCTGCTTTACATATATTCTTTCATTTAATCTCATTGAATGGCCCAAAGACCCCATCCACGCTGGTTCACTCTTGTCATTATCACCGATTGGTAGTTTAGAGATGACTACGGTAATATTGCAAGTTCTGCCGTTTGAGGTTGTAGAGGGGGACGCCATGCCCTCCGGGGTGACCCTGGGTGCCCTGTGCTGCTGTTATGTAAACAGCCTAGAGCACAGGTGGTACCCACTAAGAGTTGGTTTCCCCTCTTTCCCACCCTCAATTTCGGTGTTAATCTTTGCCCAAAGGTATGAACTTCGGCCCTATCCAAGAGCTCAGCTCCTCTCTAAGGATGAGGTCTAGCCCCAGATCTTTGCCTGGTGATGCCTGGTAACTGGTCTGCTCCCGGTCAGGTCTCAGGTGAGAACTGCTTACCTGTCTCAGTCCCAGGGGTGGACCCACTGCAGCAATGCCTGTGCTCTGTACCACTTACTGGGATGCCTCCCGCCTTACGACATTCACCCCAATATGGGAGCCACTTCGTATGGAAGCCCTTCCCCCATCAAATACCCCTCATTTGCCAGGACCAAGGTGGCTGTCTTCCTTGAACACCCCTCCCCCATTTTAAGCATTTTCTGAGCTAGGGATAGTATTTTTTTTTTTACATTTTTATTGATTCATAATCATTTTACAGTGTTGTGTCAAATTCCAGTGTTCAGTACAATTTTTCAGTCGTCATACATGGACATATACACACTCATTGGGGGATAGTATTTTTAACTGATTTTTTTTCATGTGTCCTTTATTTTGACCCTTAAAAAGGAATCATTTGTAAGATGGTTTCCTGGTCAAATATGAAATCATAAGCAGTTTCCTTTGTAGGAAGTAGGAAATGGCAGGTATCCTCAAAGTTAAAAGAAATCCTAATTCCACCTGCAGAAGCGGTCACTTTTGTCAGGTGTGTAATTAGCAGCTGGAATGTGTCTGGGAAAATGTGATTGTCTGCTTAAGTAGGGGCGCAGCTCAGGAGCTGCCCAGATTGGGACGCCCCCACTGGGGTCATCAGCCCGGCGTGGGCTCTGCAGTCACTTGTTCAGGCTGATTGCACACCTGAACACAGAGCAGGTGGCCCACTGAGCCCATGCTCTTGTCCCAGGTGCTAACAAGGTGTGACCATTGAGAAAGCTGGATCCTTCATGATGGTGAATTTTCTTTTCCAGAGAAGTCTGCTGCTGGTTCTTAGCTCGGGCTACACGTTAGAATCCCCAGGGAGACTACGGACTCTGATGCCCAAGCTGCACATGGACCAATGAAGTCTCTGTCCGGCAGCATGGGTTGAAAAGCTCTCTAGGAGATTCCAATGTGCTGCCGAGTTTAACACCAGCTCTGGACCCGTGGTTCTCACACTCGAGCTGCCTCAGAACTACCTGGAGGGCTTGTCCAAACCCAGCCCCAGAGAGACTCCGTGAGTGTGTGGGAAGGGCGTCCAATACTCTGCACTTTTCATATTTATTTTAGTAATGCTGTCAATGCTCAAGACAGTGAATTCCTTCTGGCATTAGAATAGTTAACTTTTGGGGAGGAGGGGCGCATGTGACAGGCATGGCGGTGACCGTTTTGGTCACTAGCTCATTTAATCGTTTTCACGAGGCTGGTTCATTCCCATCCAGACCCGAGAGGCCTTCCGTCTACCCTTCAGCAGGGCGCGGGCGGCGGCCCCTCTGCAGCACATCAGGTGGCTGGTTTCCTTCCGGGCCCCGAGCCCGGCCGGCACCCTGTCTTCCAGTCGCGGGTAAGTCCGTGATGGCTGAAACCTACGTCTCCTCCGCTTTCAGTGCCAGGCAGGTGGTAACACTCCACGGACCCTTGCCAAGTGAATGAATCCAGCGCGACCGTGGGAAAAAGGTACTATTATGGTCTATATTTCACAGACCAGGACACAGAGATACAAAAAGATTTAAGAAATTTGTCCAAGATCACAGAGGAGGAACCAAGATTCAAATGGTGTCCTGACTGGAGATGGGCTCTTAGACCACTGATCATTAATCTTAGGTAAAATATCACCCTTCTTTCCCTGCAACAAACTGAATAACTCACCTAAAAATGTCAACTACCTCTGCCTTACTGCCACTTAATTGAAAGCTATTTTCCCCCCAAATAACAAAAATCCAGAACTGAAACCCATGTGGCCGAACTGCAATTTCTTTCATTGCAGTAGCAATTTCTCCCCTATTTAAAAACTGTACTGTCCTTACTAGAAACCTACTTTCAGCGTCCCAAAGCAGGTGAAGATTTCACCTCATATACAATCACATTATAACCTTTTGATACATAATGTTGGTATTTAGGGGAAGAAAAACATGAAAACAAATGGATGTGAATATTCTGCCTTTACTTAGTGTGCCAGTAAAATTTATTCTGATAATAAATTAATAGGTACAGTTATCCAAAATAACTTTCCAAGGGTGCTTTCCAAGAGAACGGTTTCTGAGCAGATAAACTAAAGTATACGCAAAATCCTCCAACAGCTGACCGCTGAGATGCTGTGATGGTGATGCTGAGTTACTGAAGACTGGATTCTCTTTCTCATCGTTAGTTTTTAGCTTAGAAAGGTTTCAACTACCATTCAGCTCAGTATGCTGAAAGCACTGCCATGAAGACATTCACCTCTCCCTGGAGTGGAATTTCATTAGCCTCACCTCAGAACAGACACAGACAAGAACCCAGACCCAGGAGTAGTATTTGCTCTGATTTCACAAACCCACTCGAGCATTTAAATCGCGAAGCAGGCATATTCTTCTCTCAGTCTGTTACCAATTTCACTTCCCTTGTCTGTTTTTCTGCTTCTCTTGTCCTGATTTTCAAGGAACATGCAGAATCTTGGAAACGAAACTCCACCTTCTCGGACCATTTCACTTTTTGACTTTTCCTCTTCACTAACTTTTAGCTCTAAAAAAATTGAGCTCAGTGTATCTCCTCTTTAACAGCATGACCAGAACTCAGTGTATGTGGCATAAGTGAAATGGCACACTGAACAGAACACAGGCACTTGACTGAGGGCCAGACCTCAGGGACTGGTGTGTCCTGACCAGCTAGGGGGCAACAAAATTTCTTTGGTTTAGAACCGCAAAGCTGAGGTCAAATGACAAAGGGCTAACTTTAATCATCTTAATAACAAACTGAAAAAATAAAATCCCCATTTTTTTAAATTAAAGAATCTGAATGACTTTGAGGTAGATATGCTGTTTGCAGATAATGAGATAATTGTGTGTAAGATATAAAACGTAACACAACGGAGGGGAAGAAAGCACTGCTTTGAAATTATCTTCCTTTAAATTCAGATGGAAAATTAAGAACATGTCCACGTGGGCTCACTTCTTTGAGGATGAACTTGGCGGCCGATGGAAGGAGTCCATGCCCTAATGGAGCAGCAAACTACAAAAGCCGGTAACTTTGCATTTGATTTTTCCAGCTTGGCTCAGTTCCCAAAGTTCATGCTTTTGATTCCTAAAGTCCTCTTCAGCATTTAACTAATTCTTTGTTGGTGGAAGGGGCTGGGACTGTTTCTCCACACGTAAACTGATCCTAAGACAGAACAAGAAATCACATTAACCACCGAGCATCTGTGTCACACATGCAACAACGTTAAGACTCGCTTTGGTACAGAATCAGGCAGCTCTGCCAACTTCTCCCTTTCCTCCATCACTTCTCCTCGTTCAGTGAGTCAGTGTCAGCGCCAGAATCAGAATCTTAAAAGCGTATCAGTTTTAGTCCTGAACTTAATGCACCTCATCTTATAAACAAACAGGTCCATCTTCACTACAGAGTATCCACTTCTCAGAAACCACATTTCCAAAAGACACGTCACACCTTTTAAGTTTCTGTCCTAATTACTACTTACACTAAGACTTCTCCACTTCAGTATGTGGTCACTCAAACACCTGCCCTCTTCAAAGTAATTACTTCTTCCAACTGAAAGGCAGAGCTCTTTATGTTCAACATAGATAATCTGCAATATCAGCTACTCTGGAAATGAAGTTCAGTCTCTTGATTATTTACCCTAGCTCCTGCCAGTCAGCCCAGGAAACCTCTGCCTCCAAGGGTACCCCTCACCTCCTGACCCCATTATCATCAGCCTGTAATCTGTCCCCATCAACCTCTCACTCCTGCCCAGCACCTGGAACCCTCCCACTGTGATGTCCAGAGTTTACAGTCCACCCTCAGTGAGGTGCTCTGTATATTCTCAGCCTCTTTAAAAACATCCCCATGCCTTGTTCTAACGCGAGGTTCTCAAGGGGTGGTAGGAGGGAGGGGTTGCTTTTGTCTCTGGGAGCATTTGGCAATGTCTGGAGACGTTTGGGTTGACACACTGGGTGGTGGTGCTACTGGCATCTAAGGGGCAGAGGCCAGGATGCTACCGAACACCCCACAATGCACAGGACAGCTCTGTGCAACAGTTATTCAGCCCCAGTGCCCACAGTGCTGAGGTGGAGAAGAGGCCATCCCCTGAGGACACGGTCTCCCCCACGACCCCTCGAGAGGCAGCTGTGTGTTTCCGCAGAGCCCCACAGACTGGAGGAGGGGCTGGCTCTCCCTTCTGCCATTACTCCCTCTCTCAAACCCACCAACTCTGAGTCTTGTGCATGAGACTATCATCACTCCCCCTCTCCGGGGCTGTCATCTATCCCCTGGGATCCCTCATTCCACCCTCAACCCCCGGGACTCCCACTGCCCCTCAGTCCCGAATGTTTCCCTAGTTTCAATTCCTTGGTCAGTTATCACAACAGCTGCCCTTCCCTCACACCTTCTTACTCACTTGGCAGAACCACAACCCTCATTCAATCTAACTTGCTGCGTCTACACTCACCCGTGGAGCTGAGTGTCTACCTCAACCCCCCTCCTGATGCTCACCCCGACCAGTCCTGCCCAGGTCCCTGCTCCCTCCGCAGCAACCTCCCCAAGAGACACCTCCCCCTGCTGCCCCCCACGCGTTTTCTACCACCCAGGCTCTGCCTCCGTGACTCCCCTGAAGCTACTCTCATCACCGTCATGGGTGGCCTCCCTGTGAAGGCTCACAGTTAATTTTCAGTTCTCGATCTATCAGCACTTCCTTCCCTTTTCCTGTCTGGCTTCCAGGATACAGCACTGGTGGTTTTCCTCCTTCCTCAGCGGGTGCTTTTAGCCAGCTCTGCTGATGCTCCACTTCCCTCCCTGCCCTCTCGGTGCTGGGGAGCCCCAGGGCTCAGTCCCACCTTGGGTCCATCACTACACTCACAGCCTGGTGATTTCTCCCAGTCTCATGGCTCTAAATGCTCTCTATATGCTGATCACTCTTGGAACTCCAGACCTGCATATCCAATTGCCTTCTCACCCGCTCCACGGATGAAAATAGACCTCTCAAACTGAGTATGGCCAGTGCCTGCCCCTGTACCTGCAGTCCCCTCCCCTCAGTGGATGGTAAATCCACCCTTCCGGTTATGAAGGCCATAAACATTGAAATCCTCCTTGATTCCTCTCAAATCCTATGACCAACTGTACCCTTTAAAGTGCATCCAAAACCTAACCACTTCTCACTACCTCCACTGCTGCAGCCTGGTCCAAGCCACCCGTCTCCTCCTTAGATTAGTCCAGCAGCCTCCTAGCTTCTCTCCTTGCGCCCTCAACAGTCCACTCTGAACAGAGCAGCCAGCATCATTCTTTTAAACTGAAGCTGGATCACAGCACTCCTTTGTTCAAGAATCCTCCAGGGGTTCCCCAAAGCATGCACAGCAAAGCCAAAGTCCTTTTAAAAGTGGCCCACAAACACCACTGTGTTCTGCCCCACTCCCTGCATTTCATCTTGGAGCGCTCTCACCCTCCTTACTCTGCCCTGGCCCCCTTGCCGCTCCTTGATACCACTGGGCATATTCTGGCCTCAGGGCCTCTTCAGTGAAAGTTCGCTTTGCCAGACGTCTTTTCCCCTCTCAACCCCCTCTCTGTACAGGGCTCACTCCCTCATCTCTTTCAATCTCTGCTCAGTAAGGCCTTTCTTAATAAGACCTGCCGTGATCACTCTAAAATTGCAAATCCTTCTCATACCAGCATTCCTGATCTCCATTGTCCTGCTGTCTTTTTCTTCCAGAACACATTTAAATGCAGGAATCAATCAGTAAGCCTCTAAAGTGCAGTCTAAGTTACAGCCTGCTTCTGTCCTGAGGCTGAGTGCCTTGATTCTTCCTTATGAATGTTAAGCTCTGTTATAGGTCAATTATATCTCAAAAACAAAAACAACCCAGAAAAAAAGAATGTTAAGTTTATTACTTAAGACTCCCTTCAAAGTACTGATCAAAAGTTTAAGTGAAGGTGGGCAGTAATAACATTTATTTTGTTTTCTATTGTCAGTATCCTTGGGTGAAAATGCTAGCACAACTAAAGACTAAAATTAAAATTGTAGACTCACAACTCTGACTTATATCTCAAACAAGATAATGCAGAGTTCTATGTGTAAGTCAGGTAAGACATACTATACACTTGCTCCCTTCAAAAGAAGTCCAAGAGACCCGAACAATTTTAATTATTAAATAAAGGAAACATAAAGACTGTCAAATAATCTTTACAATTATTTTTCCTGTATCTAATAAGTAATCAATAATTTTCATTAGATTCAGAGCATTTTTCCCTATTGCCTTCTCCAAAGCTAAAATGAGTTAAATTTGAGCTTTAAAAATTTTATAAGACAGCTGTTTAGTTAGCCGATTTTAAAACATGTTTTTACAAAACATAGCATCTACCTACCACACTGTTAGACAACATTCTCCACTTACAAACCAGTCTGCTCTAGGTCCTCCCAACCCTCCCCCCACCTTTTAAAATGTGGCCCCTTACTTTGTCATAAATCACTTTTATAATGAGAGAGCAGCTAGGGCACGTTGCCACGTCTTCTCCATTCTCCAAATCCTCCTGTAACGAAATCAAACACCGTATGGTCAGCACAGTCTTCCCTTTGCGATCGCCTCCTCCCAAGCCCTCCCGCCTCTATGGGCAAGCTCCTTTGAGGCTTACGTCCCCACTAAGTATGTGAGGACCACAAGGACCTTCTAAGCAAAAGAAATGCCGGCTCCATTCTTCCCTGGAAGCGTCACTTGGGGGAAACACTCAGGAGGGTGAATCAAGGTTCAGTCGTCTCAAAACCCCCGGGAAGACAAAAACGTCCCTTCCTCCAGAGGAGTATCCCAGAAAGTGGAGCCTTAAGTTGGAGAGGATGGCGAGAAGACATGCTTCCGCCCCGCCCCGGGGCCCGAATAAAGGCCACAACAATGTGCCCACTGACAGCTCAGAGTATCAACTTCGGGGAATTCAAGAACGGATCAAAAAAGGGCGCGGATAACTAGGGGCCACCTGGGCGACGGACTGGCAGGAGGGCCGCACCAGGGCGAGATCGCGCCTGCTCCACAAAGTCGCGGGGTGTGGCCCTTAATTACCTTGGTGATGCAGAAGTTATCGCCACATGGGCAGGGGTAGAAGTACGTCTCCGAGTCCTCGTCATATTGGAAGTCCTCGATCTCCACCTCGTCGTGAAACACCGCCATCGTCACTGGGGCCAGCACAGGACTGCCGCCCCCGCCCTCCGACTCAGGCCGGAGCCTGACTTCGCGGGCGGCGGCCCAGCCTGGTGACGTCACCGCGCACCGGCGCAGGAACGACCGCTTCCGGCGCATAGGCAATGACGCAATTCCAGGCTTGGCGGACAAATGGGTGCCGGGTAGCGGTCCCCATGGAGATGGCTGAGCTAGGGGGCGGAGACCTCTCAGCGAGGTCGCGCGCCTCTCCGCCCATCGGACGACAACGACCAATGAAACGTGGGGGTCGCTCGCGCGGCAGCTGCGTCACGTTGGGCACGCCGGAAGCTCTCCGGTGCCGGGAGCGGAGGCCGGCCTCGCTCTGTAAGGTGAGTTCCCCGGCGGCTTTGGCGCGGAGATTCCTTCCTCCGGGGGTGGTTACGGTGTTTCACTTCCGCGGATTTTAGCGAGGCCTTAACTGCGCGGAGGGCCGCAACAGGCCTAGGTAGCGTCGACCCGGCTATCGGCGCCCCGGGGGAAAACGGGGCGCTGCTTTGCTGGGTCTGAGGCGGCGGCGGGAACACAGCTCAGCCTCCGGAACCTCCCTCCCCGCCTCCCCGCCTCCGGACGAAATACGGACGAAAAGCTCCCATGGAATTTTGATTCACCGAGTGACCTTGAGCTCAGGGTGGACGCGTACCGTGTAGTTCTGGCTGCACTCGGCAATTCAAGTACACCCCCACATCTCCCTCACCACATGTTGTCTTCATTTGTGCTAGATTATGTTGTCGAAAGGACCAAGCAGGTTCTGTTGGGCAGGTTGAGTTCTAGTCCTGTGTTTGCCAAGCATCTAAACTTATTAACTACAGTTAGGTATTGCACTAAATGTAATTCTTCCATCAACCCTGAGAGTTTAGATGTTATTCCGCATTATTAATCTTTGAGATACAGAGTCAAGTATCTTGACCAAAATCACACACTAGGCAATGAAGAGCCTGTCTGTTCCCACAGTCTGGGAAAAAATAACTTACGTGAATCACAGTTTTTTTTTTAAAGTGGTATCAGCATGCAGAGTTATGATTACGAGGTCTTTATGTACCTTGAAGCGGTAGGCATGTATGTAAAAAGTGGTTTGTCTTGAAAGCAGCGCTCGTTCCTGTTTTGGTAAAACGGGATTTCACGGGGGTATTGCTGCATCACTAGGCATTTATTCTTATCTTGATAGAGAAGGAATGCAGTGAAAAAGCATCGCTGAGAAGCAGATCGGGGCTCAGAAGGTGATGGTTGCGAACTAGCTCTGGGAGCTGGATATTTACATTCTTTGCGCCTTATAACCTCTTCTGACCAAAAAAGGATTGGGTTAAAGGTGATTTACAAGATTCCTTTCAGATCTGACATTCTACTTTTGCATGGAAATTGTGAGTTTTACTCGGTTCAGCAATCACATGTACCGTATTGAGGTTTGCACGAAGTTACCTATTTTGTACACACCGAAGTTCCACCTGATTTAGCCCTTTTATGGCTTGAAAACCTGAGATCAGAGAAGTCTGGGAGAAAATTTAGAACTACATTAAAGGGGTTTATAGGAGATTATTTCAGAGGCTTCACAAACGTTCCATTTTGCCTAATTGGAGATCTACACAGCAGTTAACATTTGTTAAACATTTGTTAAACCTGTGGATGCTTAACTGGGATGATTCTGCTCAGAGCAAAGGAGAAATTCCAGCAAAGTCCACACAGCTCAGTGGCTGCACCCTGTATTTTTGTAGACAAGGATACTTTCCAAGTAGCCTCTTGGAGAGAGGAGGACAGGGGAGAGAGTCCAGTGTCTGTTCTGTGGCCCCAGTGATCATTTTGAGGTTGGGGACCATCTTTAGTTCCTCAGTGCTTCTGAGCATAAGAACCTACAAAAAAAAGTGAGCCGTTTTTGAATGTACAGAAATGAAAGCAGTCGTAATTTGGTTTATGGAAATATAAATTGATAGACCTTTTGAAAGCAGTTTGGATCTGTCAAAAACAATTTGCTGGGTAATCTTAAAATCTGAGGTTAGTAATCCTTTGGTTACAGGAGTTGATGGATAATTTTTCGTTGTAATTTTTCAGCTTTTCTCAGTATTACCTAAAATGGAAAAACGAAAATGAATGAACCAGTTATTAATAGTAATTGACCCTGTGTTCCAGACCCTGTACCAGATGGTTTACATCCATTATGTCATTAAAATGGCCCAATGAAGTATAAGTATCAGTGGGAAACTTGTGGTTTAAGGGCTGAGGTTTACGAACTCGCCCAAAGGGGCAACGCTGGTAAGTGGCAGTAGGCTGTGATGAGAACTCAGGCCTGTCTGACCCGGGAATGAGGCTCTTTATTAGCTTGTATGCCTCCTGTGACATGATGGTGCTGGAAGCAAAGCTAGATTCGATTGGGAGCACCTGGGGCTCTGTCCGGCACCCCGCAGACGCTGAGATTCTCCGCTAGAGCAGTGCTGGTTCCCTTGCGACCTAGATTTGGGGGTTGCCTCGACCTTCCATCCTACTTTCACCCTGCCAGTCTGTTGCTACCCTTTGTTTGGCCACAGGTGGTTCCCTGTGTGGTTCTGCCAGTCTGAGTTCATACTGTGCTGATTAAAGTGAAACCCTAGCCAAGCCTGTGAGGCATGATTTTATGCCACCCAGCTTTTTAAAATAAAACATTACAGCGACTACTCAACTTCACATTTGCTCCTAGAAGGGAATAGAAACATTTTATAATGAGACATTTTGGGCTCTGAGAGCATAACAAAAGCAGATTTACTTGTTGCTGTACAGTCATTTGAGTTCACAAGTTAATGGTTTAAAAATAATGTTTTTTAATCATAACACTGCTGATTTGGAAAATAATACTGACCAGGATTCTTAGTATAAGATTGAATTTAGAACTAGGTCATAATTATGTGATAGCAGCTGTATTTTCTGAGTGCTGTTTATTTGTTTATGTTTTTAACGGCGGTACTGGGAAATGAACCCAGGACCTCGTGCATGCTAAACATGGGCTCCACCTCTGAGCTGTTCCCCTCCTTCCGCCCGGTGCTGTATTCTGTCAGGCTGAACAGTTGTTTACGGCAACATCAGACCACTGCCTTTCTGGATTGCTGGGCGGGGATAATTTATTTGGGTTGGTTTTGAGTAACGCTCTTGCCTGCCAGGTACTTGCACAGACATTTATTCCTCTCAGCAGTCCAGTGAGGTGGTGTTGGCATCTCATCTCCATTTGCAGATAATAAGAGGTGACCCAAGGTCAACAAGCAAAAGGGTGTCAGATCTGAGCCCAGTTCCGCTGATTCTATGCCAAGCGCTCTGTAATAACTTGTATTCCACTCGAGTTCCCTTATCAAATGCAAGGAGCCCCTTTGCTTCCTCAGTGGCACCTAGGATTCTAAATCAGAGGGCGTGGTGCTAGTTCTGTGAGTTTATTTCAATGCATTAGTGCTCTTGGAGGTTTTTCTTTCTCTCATTGCTTTCTCATGCCTCATCCAGTCCCTCAGCAAGTCGTAGGACTCTCATCCCAGAATGTGCTCCATGTCCATCAACTTCTGCTGTTTCAGAGTTTTATCCTGTCTAGTCCTAGACTGGAGCCTTCTAACTGAATTTCCTGCTTCGACCCTTGCCCCTCTGCAATCTAGTCTTTATGAGGGATCTTTTAATGTAAATTGAATTACATCCCTCTCCTGGTTTATTCAAACCCCTCGGTTGCTTCCCGTGGCCCTTAGGAAAAAGTCCACACCCTTCCCAGGGCCTGATGTGACCTGGCACGTGTCTGCCTGCTCCACCCCATCTCCTGTCCCTCTCCCCAGCTCACTGCTGTCCGGTCACACTGGCCTTGCTTCCTGTAACACACCAGGCTTGTTTCTGTGATGGGGCCTGCTTGGCAGCCTCTCAGCTCAGATGTCTCTTGAGAGAGACCTTTCCTGATACTCCCCCACTTACCCCACCCATCTTACTTCCTTCCTCACGCTCATGGTAGCCTGTAATTGTCTTGTTCATTCTCTGTTTATTATCTGTTGTGCACATTGTGGTAAAAACTTCATAATGACAGGGCCTTGTGTCTGGTTCTTTATTGGGTCTCCGCAGCCTAAAATAGTGCCTGGCACCCCAGTAAGTGTTAATTAATTTGAATGTACTTATTGAATAGAAACTAGTAGAGTTCATTTTAAATCTTAAATTTAAGCTGTTGCTTCCGGTAATTTAACTCCTTAAATGGACAGAGGTTTTATTTAGCATTTATGATACTTTTCTCTTTCAGAAAAAAAAATTTGGTGAGTTAAGGCCCATGGGGATACAGACATTGATAGAATATTCTTTTTTGTCTGGTTTTGAAAATTACTTAATATATATAACTTTTTTACAGTTAATTAATACTTACATGGAATGTATTAAACCAGTGGACATACTTCAAAATATGGGAAGGTTTTTTTTTTTAATACCTTATTGCTTTGGAAGGCACTTTGAACACAATTTGATAAAAAATACCCTTTATTTACCAATAGGTGTCACTCTTGGTCGTGGTTACTCTCATTAAAAAACAAGATTTTAGAATTTTAAAGAGAACAGCTTTTAAGAATTACTGTTTCTTTGTATACCAGTTCAGCTGAGCAGTAGACCATTCAAACAGCATGATCACTAAAAGATGTGTCTTATAAGAGGACAGTTTATTTTAGCAATACTTGTCCAAAACACTGAGCAGAATAGCATGTCCATATTTAACTCTACATCAGTTAAACAGTATCAGGGAAATGACACATAACTGTCCTTCCGGCACTTGGTCTGGCTTTCATGGAGTGGGTAGCCTGAGTAAGCAGCAGGCGTTAAAGACAGGCCAAGGAAGACGAGAACGAGACGCAGCAAGAGAAACAACCAGACAGAAAAGCAGAAACCCGAGGAGGAGGAATGGATGGCAGAGGCTCACTGAGAGCAGGCTGGCTGTAAGTGGTGCTGGCTGATTACAGCGAGCCTGTCCTTTTGCAGCTAAGAGACAGCGGTGCCTTTCAACAGTTTCCCAGAATATTGTTCTTATATGTCGTCTCTGTCATTGCAGGAATTTTGTGGGAGTGTCACTGTATGGAAACACTGTTCCAGCCGGGGTGTCTCCAAAGGGCTCAGTGTAATTCCAGGACCAGAATATTGCCAGCCAGCCAGCCAGCCCTACATTTAATGACTCCTAAATGCTCTTGGGCTTCTAAAGTAAGTTTCGCCTTCTTTCTTCCAGTGATTGACGTACCATTTTTAGTTTAGCACATTCAAAGGAGAGAAACTGCATTTAGTAGTCTTACGTGGGGTGAAAGAGGCCTTATGCTTCTTTCATTGACCGGGGAGAAAGGCAGCGGTAGCATGTTCATCCAAACCGAGGCTGCGTCATACTCTGGCAGGAAATAGATTTATTTCTCCCCTGAATGGAGGCACTGGGGATCGAACCCAGGACCCTGTGCGTGCCGAGCATGTGCTCTACCACTGATCTATTATACCCCCACCCCTCTAGATCTTATCTAAAGACTAGTATGGAGCCTTTTTTTATATGATTTGGCTGTAACGGAATAAATTGCATATAACTTATATCACTACTTGATTTATTTACCTTTATTTATTTCCTGCCTCTGTCTTCTAAAATGTAAGCTCCCCGAGGTCTTTGCCTGGTTCATGTCTGTATCCCCAGGGCGTGCCACGTGATGGGCTGTTAATAAATATATGTCCAATGAAGGACTAAATTCACAATTGTGGAGGAGGAATGTCAGCACACTGCGCGTGAATCTCTTCTAACGCTAGATTTTTTACAATGAGTTTATATGGTACCTTTCAAAGGTCTCAGAAACTGGAGTGTTCACACATTTTCATTTATGGTCAAGCCGACTAAGATAGGGAAAGGCAGATGTACAAGGCAATATAACATGTTAAAAGAGGCCATCTCAAGGGGGAGGGTATAGCTCAAGTGGCAGAGCGCGTGCCTAGCGTGCACGAGGTGGTCCTGGGTTCAGTCCCCACTGCCTCCTCTGAAAATAAATACACTTGATTATCTCCCCACCTCTGGCCAAAATAAGAAATAATTAAATAATAAATAATTTTTTTTTAAAGAGGCCACCTCAGGCAAAGAAATGTTTCAAAAACTGGCTGAGGAAAACAGAACGACAGGAGGCAGAAATGTGTTATCCCACTCCCAATCAGTACTTTTCCTGATAGGCCAGTAGTTTTTGGAATTTGAAATATTGGAGAATCTTTTGGCTTATTTTTTTTAATTTGTTATTGAAGTGTAACATACAGACAGAAGTACATAAATCCTAAGAAGACAGATCAATTGCATTTTTTTAAGGCTTAATTTGTTTAGAGCAGTTTTAGGTTCACAGCAAAGTTGAGGGGTAGAGTACAGAGGTTTCCCGTACTACTCCCCACCCCGACACGTGCACAGCCTACCCCGTCACCCTATCCCCAAGGGTGGGATGTTTGTTACAGTTGATGGACCTGTACTGACACATCATAATCAGCCAGAGTCTAACGCCATGACTCACTCCTGGTGTTGTATGTTCTGTGGATTTGGACAGATGTATAGTGACACGTAGTATCATACAGAGTATTTTACTACCCTGAAACTCCTCTGTGTTTTGATGAAGTTTTTTCAAAATGAGAATACCCATGCAGTCAGCATTCAGATTCAGAAACAACACTGTCACTACCACCTTGCCAGTGGGAACTGCTAACTTGATTTCTAGCTTCATATATTAATTTTTTTCTGCTTTTGTAGTTTCTGTGACTAGGCTCAGAGAATATGTGCTTTTTTGAGTCTGGCTTCTTCCATTCTTTCCATTTAATGTGATGTTTGTGATACTCATCTGTGTTACTGCATGTAGTTGGAGTCTGTTTATCCTTATTGCTGTGAACCTCAGGAAATCTGTCTGCACCTTGTGCGTTGTCTAACAAGGAACACTGAAGACTTAGGTGGTACTCTGGGGAGAATATAATTACTAGGCAGTTATAAAATCACTCTTCTCTAATAGCATAAGATTAGTCATATGAATTTGGTCTGAGATGTTGGAAACTAATAAAGACCATGAACATTTGACAGCACCAATAATTACACATGTGTGTTCTGTGGCAACCCAGCGAATCAACTCTAGTAGCACAAGCTTTCTCAGGGTGAAACCAGGCCCTTCATTGTTTTGCTGTTAGATCAGCTCATAACAGCACCAGCAAAAGTCCAGACTCTTCTTCACTGTCCCCTGAGGTAGTCTGATTTTTCCCTACTTTTGCTTCATATGTTTTCACTTTGAATCTCATGTTTCCCAGGAAGCGCCATGGCCTGTACCGCTGTCATGATTCCTGGGTGGCTGCGGGGCTGTGCCGGGGCCATCTGCACGCAGGCTGCTTCGTGGAGATCGCCGCCCAGCGCTGTGCGCCACCTCACCCTCAGCAGGTGAGCTGTCAGCCGTCAGTGTCATTGGAGGTTGATTTTCAGAGACCTGACCTGCCGGTGGTTGTGGGAGGCATCGCGTAGCACCTTGCTTGCCTGGGCATGCCCCTGGAGATCGTTAAGCTTTAGTTAGATGTGCTGATTGTCTTTGGCTGTTTTCTGGGACCTATAATGCCATATTGTATTTGGGATAGTCACGATAATTACTAATTAATTAATTTTATGAGGACAATACTTAATAGCCTAATTTTACTTTCCGTTAAAGCATGATGAAATCCAGAAGGAAAACTGACCACTTGGAGAGAACTGCAGATGTCGTTCGACGGGAGGTGGGTATCTGGGGCCGGGGCAGGGTCTCCGCGGCTGGCGGTTTGCCTGCAGCGAGGACTCGCTTTCAGAGAGGGCTTACGCGAGCTTGAGCCCTTCAGAGGACAGTCAGGGAAAGTTTGTTATTTTTCTCTTCAGAGCTTTTCTGAACGGGGCATGTGACAACTGATTTGAAAAGATGACAGTACAATACGCCAGTTTTTCCCTCTAACTTGGAGTGAATGAATGCATTTCTGATGATGGGCGTGTGGCAGCAGTTGAGGGGACAGTCCACAGGTGTAATATTTAGGGTTGTATTTTAGACACAGGACTTCTGGTAGAGCCTGCAGTTTATGAGTAGCTTACTTTTCCTTTTTTTTTTTCTTTTTTCTTTTTTCCTGGCACCATGTCTCAAAGTCCTTGTTCCCATCCCCACTTTCGAACAACTTCTTGTTTCATCAAGGGAGAGAGCACTGACATCTGAGAGAGGAAGGTGGGGTGAGCCCTTGGTGCCCTTCCCCAGTGGAAAAATGTGCAGATTTTTCCCACCACGTTCAGACCATCCGTAGAAAGGCTAACCCACCTCCTGAAGGGGTCCAGGGCTGGGAAAGGAAGGATCCTCACCCTTTAGCTCAGTGAGTAACCCCATTTTCTTTTAAAAACATAAATTGGATATTTGATTTTGCTTTTTGAGTGATTCTTCACAAATTTGGGTATATTTAGCTTAGTGTTGTAAGTGTATTTAAACTAACAGTGAAAAAACTGTATTTCACTAAAAGAAGGGATTAAGCACTTCTGTGAGCACTCTCAGAAGTTGTATTGTGGCAGCAGTTTAGTTTTTAGCATTGACAAGCAGAATATACTTTAAAAGTATATTACTTAGGTCCCGCTTTTCGAGCTAATGCTACTTTCAGAACACTGCTTTAGGACCAAGAGTGGTGTGTTTGTGTATTCAGCATCAAGCCAGTGCGTTTTTGCGGCATCTGTGTAAAATTACTTTAGCATAATAGATTTATGGGTGTATGGGAAACTATACTTTCCCCACTGATGATAAATCTGAAAATGCTTTTTTCCGGTTTGTTCAACACACAAAAATGCTCATTTTGTAAATGTGAGATTTGTTAGGATTTCTTTTTAAAAGTGAAACCTTTCTGGTTTTGAAGAAAAAGCAGTTTATTTAGTAGGCTTGGTCTGGACTCTTTTCTGTTGTATTTTGAGATAGGTAGAATTAGAGTTGGGTTTGGCAAACTTACCATAAAAGGTCAGATAGTGAGTATTTTAGGCTTCAAGGGCCATGCTTAGTTACAGCTATAAAACTGCCTTGGTAGTGTGAAAATAGCCCTGGACACCATGTAAACAAAGAGGTGTGGCTGTTTTCCAATAAAATGGTATTTACCGGAACACCCAGGTTTGGCTTGTTTGCCAATCCCAAATTAGAGCTGCATTTCAGAATTTTACAGGACAAAATTATTGAGCCTTTTGGGGAGTTATTTTGAGCCAAGTTTAAGACAACTACAGAGAAAGTTAACATAAGATCTAATAATGTGATTGTGTTACCGAACTCAGATCCCGCTGCTTGACGTTCAAAAATCAACACTCAAGAGAGGCCAGTGTTAGTAGAAAGGAAAGTTGCTTTTAATCAGAATGCTGGCGATCTGGGGAGATGATGGACTCAGTGTCTGCAAAAACTGACTTTTAAGAGTTTGCTCATCCTCGAAAGTTTTTAAAGGGAAAAGGGAAGTGATCTCAGTTAATCATTGAGGTGAGAGGTGGGGGTCAGAGTTGTCACCCTTCCCCACTGCATGCAGGCTTGTCGACTTCTTGTGATCTTTTCTCTAGAAGATATCTTATTCACAGAGTTTGTTTTCAAGATACTAAGAGGGAAGTTAGGGAAGAGACCCGGACATCTGCTAATAATTTATTCGTCGTTCCTACTTCTTTGATCCAGGAAAGAACCAACGGGTTAGGCAAGGTATTGTGTGATCAAGTTTTGAGAGGTGTGCTTGGGCCGGAAGTGACTAGAGTATGGGGGCACCTGGCTTAAGGTTAGTGACCAGACAACAGGAGTCTCCTGCGGAGAGCTCTTTCCTGCCTAAAGCTGATCAGAGCATCATTCTGTTTCTGTGGGGTCATGGGCAGAGGTCTGTCTTCTGTGACTTCTTCATGCTGACGGAGGGTACCATGTTCTCAGAGTGGAAGAGGGTCTGTAGCATCTCTTTGCTGACAGTTGTAGTTGTCCATTTACATATAGGAGCAGAAAAAGCTACAATTACTTTGATGCCCATACAGATCATTATGAGCAATAGTGGTAATCCGATTATGTTAAGGCCAGTTCTTGGACTTGTGCTGGCCACAGATTCGGTCCTGCTCAAGATGGAACAGCTTACTTCGGGGCTTCAGTCTGGTCATCGTGCAGTTGGCTTTTCCCTCTGGTGGCAGTTACAGTGTCTGTAAAACGACTCAGGAATGTGCATCGGACACTGAGTCATTAGCTGTTTGAGCCTGCTCTTTTGTGGCTCGTGGAGGCCTGAGAGACTTTACCTTTTCTACAAACAAGAGGCAGGGTTGGGAGGATGCCCGCAGGGTCCTGTTTGGTTCCAGTTTCCCTTTTTTCTTTGATACTTCTCAATCCTGAGGAGGAACAGGCGCAGAACACAAAAAGGAATAAAGTTTCAGGTAGAGAGTTTGATCATAAGCTTGACAGAGGAACCCACAGGGTCCTGCATGGTTTCACCAGCAGACACTGCTTTGAGAATGGCTGGTGGTGTCCTGAGTCTGACACAGCTCTGAAAACTCAAGTTCTCAACAATACAGAAACATGTCAGAAACCACACACCACAGTGGCCTCAGAGGTCTGAACCACAGCTACTCCATTTCTGACTTTCAAGTGCATGCGCCTTCTCAAGGCCAAAGCAGGTGTACAGTGCCTGTTCAAAAGGCCATAAAGCAGGCCACTTTGGTCAGTAAAGTTTACGTCAAACCATGCATAAGCCAGCATGACTGCCGCATACCTCAACATGTGCAAGTTTCCCCATCATTTCTCCTTTTGATTGCAAATCTTTCAGTAGAAAGCATTGGTGAGCAAAATATTCATCCCTCGAAGCTGAGGTGGCAGCTCCTGCTCCAGGTCCAGATCACGTCCCTCGGTGCCAGGCCTCCTTTATACTTTCCTAGTTATCCACGTTGGGGGAAGATTCATCAGGTACTGTGAACAGGCTAAGAGAGAGGTATGTTAACAGAGAAATACTTCATAGGCCATGCATTTTACCACTTAAACACAATTGTCACACAAGCATTGTACATGTGCTCTAGCAATAGACTTATAATAAAAGGCAAAAAGTTTACGCATCATGAGTAGTTACCCTCTGTGACAACTCTGTAGAGAGTTCTCTTTCTGTCCTAAACATTGGGGGCAACAATGTGGTTGAAAGTAAAACAGTAACTTTCAATGTTGATAGAGAGACAGACATTTGGTAAACAGTTGAATTAGATTATGATAGGTCTTACAGGCCTGGTCCAGACTCCTGGGCCAGCTGTCCACCACTGTTGTCTTTTCCTTCTGATGCTGCTGTTAATGTCATTTGGGGGCGCAGTCCCTTCTGTAGGCCAGTCCAATGCAGAGGCCCTTCTCAAGTGGGAAATTTGAATCCAAGAGTCCGTGTCATTCAGTTTCATTGCACATGGGCTAGTTAAGAATATCTGATAAAGGTCCTTTTATCTAGGTTGGAGGCAGCCCTTTAAGTGATGCTCCTTCTGTATGTATAATTCTCTGACTACGGGTCATGGGGCGTCTGATTTTCATCGAAACGTAGACTGCTGTGATAAGCTTCAGAAACAAAGTCAGAGTTCCAGACTCTACAGTGAATAACGAAACAACAAAGAGCCATCTGGAGAGTGAGTCTTAGGCAGCAAATAGTGACCTCAATTAACAAAACTAGAATTTAACTTCCATTAAAATATAGCCCTTTTCTCTCTAAAATTACCCTCATTTTTCCCAAAAATAGGTAAATTAAAATTAGTTTGTTTGCAAAATGAGTGTGGTTAATTGATTATTTAGGCTCTTTTATGGCTATGCTGGAACCTTTCATAAGGAATCTCAGACAAATTTTAAAAGGCCTTTAGGAGGGAGAGGGTATATAGCTCAGTGGCAGAGCACATGCTTAGCATGCACAAGGTTCAGGATTCAATCCCCCGCACCTCCATTTAAAAAAAAAATTAAAAAGAAAAAGGGCCTTGAGGAAAGCCATACGAAAGGCTGGTCACAGATTTCATCCTACAAACTTGGATGAATCCCTCCTTTTTTGAGGTTCCCAAAATGCATTGAGATTTTTGCAGTTGTCAAGAGGCAGCCTTTCATATTTACTGATACAGCTGCTTGGAACCTAGGAGTGTCCAACTTCTGGAGGGATCGGATAGAGAGAAAAATGCTTCAATTCTACTTAACAAAGCATAATATGCCAGGTTATTATAAATCATCATTAGCGTAAGGGGAAAGGTTTCCCCATATCTGGAAAACAGATTAAAAGCCACTAATATTTCACAGAAAAAATTATAGCCGTATTTATAAATTTACTCAATCCTATGTAATTAATCCTTTTTGCTAAGTTTTATGAAATCAGAGTTTCTATTAGACTTTTTAAAAATTTCTAACCCAGTTTAGCAGTATAATTTAAAAGAAACCTGTACTTTCTGTGAAAGTCCTTTCTGTGAATCTTGAAGATGAAGCAGTTGTGCAGAGCATAGCTTAACTGTCTATGAATGAATGACAAAGGGCTTAAAAAGACAAGGTTAGAAATCGAATTATGATGTATTTAACAAAGAATCTTAACGAAGTTGTGACATACAATATTTTAACATAACAACTAAAATTAAGACTGACAACATACTAGGACATATCCAAACTTCAGAAACTTACAGTTTTTAGAATATTTATATTAATAGCATGCATCTGTACCATACAATCTGAGGAGGCTTATTCATTTGATAATACTTTCCATGTAATTTAACTTACCAAACAATCCTA